AAGAAAGTAATCACTGAAGCTACCGACCAGCTCGCCAAAAACGATATTCATGATAGGCAATGGCTGAGGACCGATTAGTACCTTTTTTTGGTCCTTTGCAATTGAACTTCCAAAACACAATCAACTTACGACACCGGAGGCCATGGAGCATATGAGAGCGACCATCAAGACCATGCGATCTTTGGTGGTCAGGTAGGAAAGAATCCTCTGTATATTCTTAGCGATATATTGCGACGAAGTATTCCCTCAGTCACTTGACACATACGAAATAACCGCTAAGGGGCGCAGATTGATCTTCCACATTTTTGGTATCAAGATCCCGCTTGGGTTCCTCGTTGACTTCGACAACATTGGGCTGTCGGTCATCTGTCAAATGTGGAGAATGTGACTCTCCAGTCATAGACCTTGTCTCGGTCACAGCTCCTTGGGGTGAATCTGACGAGAGATCCATCCTTTGGAGAGCAATGTTGATGGTAGCAGAGGAGAGTGCTCATCCTAGGAAGAGGATTCCTTTGAACTTTATACTCGGGACAGGTAAATTGCCTGTAACTAGATAATGTGACAGGATACGGAAATTTCCAGACTAACTCACTGTATTTTTAGATAGTAGCTTTATGATAGGCCAATAAATCTCGGATCGTCATCAATGTGGACCAAAATGGATCAAAGAGATGCCTGCTTGGCACCCCTCAGGAGTAATAAAGCTCGAGCGAGAGGTAGTTCCTAAATAGGTTTAGATCGAGATCTAACCTAAACTAGCGTACGGTCTTTCGGGGTTACTGAGAGTCCAGCCCCACTTAACAGCCTTGTGACCAACCAGAATCGAGGACCCCAGATACTTGGAAGTCCCTCCGGACTTTCGGCCTTTTCGCTTTTCCCGCAACATCCACACGGAGCCAACGATAGCTAACAGTGCGACCACGAACAATAATGAGTACTGGGCTTACATCAGCGACTATTTCGGTGAGAAAATATTATGTCCACATGCGAATCGATCGAATTCTGACTTGAGGTTATCCTAGTGCGGTCGTTGTCAGTCTAAGAAGGTATAGAGCCCTTGGGGGTAATGTCATCTTCAATGCAGCCACAATAACAATCTTCTAGATTCGCTGCAATCGAGCTACGCCGATATGTGATAGATGTGAAGCCATAGGGGCTGAGTGTGCTTACCTGCCACGAAAGCCACGAACTAAGAAACAAAGGTACATTTGCTCAGCCATGAAGCATTAATACATCCCTCTAGATTTTCATTGACAAGACTATCGCAGGACCGAAATTTCTAAGAAGAATGCTCTTCTAGAAGTTCTCGAGCGCCTCAGACGCTTAGAGGAGCATTGTGGCTTGGATACTTTCGCGGGAAATCAAGACAATGAGGCCGATTCCATGTCTATCTCTTCTGTCGAATCAGAGAACACACGGATTGCAATCCTGCCTGAAATACCGACCACAATAGTCCCACCCGGGATCCGTGATATAGTCAGTCGTATCAAAGATGAAGGCAGTCAATCCATGCTTCTCTCTAGTGTCTTCTGTCACCTGCAACAGATCCAACCGTGCTTTCTCGCAAATGAACAATGCTTCTGTACCATTACTTCCGCCATGTCGGAAGTCGAGTTCATGCAAGATACAGAGCCTACGAAGCCATCAGAAGAGTTGTCCATTCCAAAAGACTTGGCCAAACAGCTCATAGACTGTAAACACATCTGACCCGTGCTTGATGATTCATTCGCTAACGTCCAATCCAGATTACTTCAGCTTCTGCGATTTCGAAGGCTTCAAGATGCCTCTCGAAAAATCATTTCTAACTTCAATTCCTGATCTGCTCGAAATACCCCATGTTCAACTAGATTGTACCTCCCAACTCATCTATTACACCACTCTTTTCCAAGGCCTCGTTTTAAAGCCAGAGACACTCCCAAGAAGAGGAACCTTGATCCATATTCTATATCGGAAATGCGTTTCTCTCAGCGAAGACTGGCTGAAAAATATCAAAGATACCCCAGCCGACTTCTTTGCAGCATTGACACTGGTAAGACAACTAGATACTTCTCAATATAACACCAATGAATTAACAATTTCAACAGATGTCATTGTCCCTCGAATGTTGCAATATCGATTTATCCTGGAAAGCCCTCGCCCAAACATGCAGGATATCTAAAGCCCTAGGACTTTTCTCCGTGGATGAGACACCTTCCGAGGGAGGAGATAAACAACTTTCCACAGAGCCGGAATCTCTCCCACACCAGGCGGAAGTAGAGCGAAATCGAAAACGGTTCGAATTCTGGCACATTTTGCGAACGGATTGTTTTTTTCGCATGTGTTACGGAAAACCAACTCTCATCCCGGCAGGATCGTGGAAAGTCAATTTCCCCGACCCAAATATCAGCAGCGTTAACCATGAATCATCCCGCTTCATAAATATCCATTTCATCGCGTCTATGCGACTGACGCTCATTGTGATGAAATATCTTGATTGGGTTGACGGAGGGAAAGATCCTGATCCCGTCTCCCATGATGCGACAATTGACAGTTTTATCGACGAGGTTGAGCCAATATTATTGGATTGGGATGTGGTACGTTTCACACTAACTTGGAACACCAATTTACGAAATCTTTCATTCCTAATTTATCACTCTAAAGGAGGGCCTTCTTCAAATGGCTACAAATCACCTCGAGATATGGTTCTGCGTCGATGTACTATTCAGCACTTACAAAATGCTCATCGTCCTCTATCAATCGAAAAAATGCGAACAGAGTCATATCCTACCAGCCAAGGCTGTGGATATATCCAGAAAATCCGTGAAAATCTTCCAATCTCTTCTTGGATCGTCGGAGTATGCGTTGTGGGGCGTCAGGTATGTCAAGCATACAACTTACCTTTCCTCGTTTGCGCAATTAATTAACCGTTCGAACAGTATCTTATTACTCCACCAGTTCATCCCCTTTTTTATCCTTTGTTTGGATATCATTGGAAATCCTGACCACGCCAATCTCGAGGAGGATCTCGTATCCATAACCTGGGTTAGCGATTTTGCCGAGATGGTCATTAAGGAACGAGTCGAGCTCAGGCCAGTTATGCTCATCATTAAATCTATGGCTACAGCTTGCCAGCAAACGAAAATAATAAAACTAGCGCGAGCTACTTGAAATGGTGTTAAAAGTGGCCGTTTCTTGCTTCCCATTCACCATGTCATCCTTAATTGTGGTAGTAGTAGCGGTAGTAGTAGACTATAAATAGAGGCAAATAAGAATATAAATATACCCTTCATATCTCTAGCGAATAATACTATAGTATTTTCTAATAACCGGGATAAATCGATATTAAGTAGTTTCTAAAGTATAGCCCTTGTGTGAAATGAATACCTAATCGTCGAATAAAAGTCTCCCACCGGCCATTCTTTTCGAGAAGCTTGGTAACTCCGGGGACTATCCATTTTTCTCAAGTATAGCCAATAGAGCAAAATGTCTTATAGATGACTGAAATATCAACCCCCAGAGCACAGGGTGAGTCAGTCACTCCCGTTTTGGTCATTAGCTGAGTGTTCACAACGCTAAGTTCACATATTCGATTCATAAATGGTCTGCAGTATTGTTGAATCCTCTCACATTGCCCATCTCACAACCCCAATTTATGCTTCTTAATCCTCGCACCCACTCCAGCGAGAATAAAAACGACAGAAACAAGTACACCCCATAGAGGGATGTGAATCGCTATCACGTTGTAGGTGGTCTGCGTCGCCGCCACGACAGTCGCCACCTCCAGCAGTAGCAAAACATAGCCGCTCCAGCGATGATACTTGTAAATACGCTTCCCAGCGTCGACACTGCCGAAAACGGTAACCGGCAAAAAGTACTGAAGAGCGCCGACCACGGCTTGTAGCACGATAGCGATGTAAGTAGCCAGACCTAGAATTCCGTGGGGAGAGACAAAGTGCGGATGAGAGCCCTTGTTAACCTCGATAATGACAAAGGCAGATATAAAAAGGGCCACGCTGAGTAGTTGTAAGATGTGGTGGATGCGAGTACCAGTACGTTTCTGTTGCGGGGTAGCAGTTGGTTGTAAGATGAGAGCTGCTTGAACTTGAAGCAGCAAGGCGGAAATTCCGAGTAACTGAATATCCAGTTAGTGTTGGGGATATTTTGTTTGGCTTCTTATATCTCCTTACTGGATGCGGGGTGAATAGCGAGAGGGGAAGGGATAAGACTCCTTGCCAGACCAACGCCGCTAGCTAATGTATTTTATTAGTCTTCTGATCTTCTAAATTGGTTGGAATGCTCTCACAATCCAAATCCCTGCTTGCGCGACACTCGCTGTTCCTGAATTTGGAGTTAGTTATGGGATTTCGACCAGAAGCTTTCACGCTCACCTGTGAAGAGATTCCGATAGATACTCTCATCGGGCTTTTGTGTGACATCGCCTGGACGGCCCAATAGAGGCTCATCTTCTCGCGCTATAATTGTTGCGGGGTGATCTTGAGGAATTCCTGTTGCTGAGGCCATGATGAATGATGCGCATATGAACAATTCAGAGAAAAAAGATCAAAGAAAAGAGGATGAGGGCGGTGGCTAATAACCCTTGCGTTGCTTTTTGCTTTTTTTCTCAGGTGTAAATGCACATCTACAAACATATGTGTTCTGTGCGAATCACAAAGTACTTGATTACTGAAATTATTCGTGATCGTCGCTATCAATGACGTTCTGCATCACATCCGCTTTTTGCCGAGAGCTGAAAAGGCCATTCAGACGCAGTCTATTGCAAAACCTGACTTGGCAAAATAAAATAAAATGTCGCGATTTGGACACGTTACTCTGTTATTCTCACTTTGTTACTCCAAATTAATATTGAGTCTCACAAGTACGTGGCCATCTTACTATGCTGATACTGCACTACTCTAGAAGACTACGTACAATTACTGGGGCCAAATTTCAACTGAAGAATTCCATTTGATCTAAACATCTAAAATCCAATCACTAAAGCACTGAAGCACTAAATATCGCAATTAACGCCTAGGCTCAGGGGAAGGAGCACCACTCCGGTCACCCCGATCAGGCGAAATCCGGTACTCAATATCGGCAGGGACACAAAAGTCCAAAAAGATCATCATGCTCTCGATATCAGCAGCGACTCGGTAGTTGCTGGTGGGGTCCTTGACAAGAGCATCTTTGAAATATTGCACCCGCTCATAGAGCTTGTTGCACTTGGCAGTCCAATTAGGGTTGTGGTAGGTATAACGAGCCTGTCCGGCGATTCTCAGGCCCTCAATTCGCAGAAGCAAAAGAGACAGAGAATTGATAACCATCTTTCCGCTCCCTTTGTGGTTGTCCTGGAGGATGTCAATCTGAGCGTGCAATGTGGTCATGAAATGACGACGCTCCTCTTCGTACGTACCGTAGGAAGTGCGTGCAGGCATGGTGTTGGTGAAAGTAAGAGTGGATTGTGAGGCTTACTTGTGATAGTGGCTTTTGAGCTGATTGCTTGGACACTGAGTAGCTGGTAGATGATGAGACATGTAAGGGTGGTGCCATCCGGCCTGCTTTATATCTTTTTGTAACCATCTGATCGAGTACTTGGTCAAAGAGAGACAAAGCAACAATGGTCTTTATCGGATTCTTTATATCTTAAACATAGCACATAGATTCGAGCCGGAGGATTCACATTTAATAAAGTAATGCTAGCACAAAGGTGTGTATCATCTTCTTTGTGGTAAATGGTAATAGACATCCATTTAAAGTCTATATTCAGCCGCCTTTCATGATATTCACCAAGGCATTGTCAACACAGGCCCTTCCTCTCCAGACCCAACCCTTCCAAAGACCACCTCCGCTCCCAGATTCTTCGGGTCCAAGTTCATAACAATATTGAACAAAGAACTACTTCTACTCGAGATATGGCGCGATGGATCCTCCTCGCAACATAGTGCCTGAGGCTTGTTATACGTATCGGAGAAGATACGTTCTCGCAATAAAGCGGGTGTGATAGCGTCGCCCTGAACACCATCCTGAATTAACTCCTGCGTCAACTCCCCTAGCCGCTGAAGCCGGATAGGTGACCCAGATAGCCAGGGCGGCTCATTCACATAGCGATTCTCAAGGAAGTGGTTAGTATGTCTAATAATCCCGGATGCATCCTCGAGGATATGCTTGTCTCCAACTGGTGATAGCTCAAGCCCTAGTGCTTTGGTACTGTCCGCACAAAGGATATGCTGAGCAGAGGCGACACCACCCAAAGACTCGAGGGTCTTCACGGCATTATCGACAGAAGTACTCTCCAAACACAACCGAAGCGCAACATGGATCGGGACTTTGCTACTAATCATCGGTTTGGCGCGAATTGCATTGAGACAAGTTCCGACGCCGTTGGCATTGAATCCAATCTTGCCGACGATTCCTGCCTGAAGACAGTTAATTACATATTAGAATATAGACGCATACAGGAGTCCTCACCTCGGCAATCATATAGATAGTAGGTTTCCCAGCCTGTTCAATTGATACCATCGCGAGGTTCTTCTTGACAGTCTTTGTCCAATCCCAGTTCTGTGAGAGCACTCGTGTCGTCTCACTTTTCTTCCAGCTGAGTGTTGTGCAGCCGTCGGAAAATCGGCCTAGTGCTATCTCACTTCGGCAGTTGAGCGCAATTATGTCGAGCACATCTAGCCCAGCACCCTCGGCGATACCTTCCATCTCCGTGAATAAATGAGGTGTTAGGCTCTGGAGGGTGGGCTGGAATTCAGTTGCGACTTCGCGCACATCTTTCCAGGCTAGTTTTGAGGTGTTCTGGAACATAAAGTCGTAGATAGATATCTGGCTATGGATTTGTTCCCGCAATGCGCGACCATGTTGTAGTCCGATCTAATTGTAATTCATATGAGTTAGCTGGAGTTCTTGTCGCATGCAGATGTTCATATTGGAGAGTGTACTTCTCGAGGAGTGCCATGGAGCTTCAGCTTGATTGGCTCGTTTTCAGACATCTTGAATTTACACAATAACTATACAGATGATCAAAGCCAAGGCTATCTTCAGCTATTTAATTGACTTGAGACATCAACAGCCGAGCAAGGTTCCCCTCAGTTGGAGTCATTCGGGGTCTAGCCGATAAGCATCGCAATGACCTGCCCTAACTGGCTATCATATGATATTCCAACAAATAGAAGCTTTATGTTGTGATGTTATACAGGGAACTAGTGGTGACACACTAGTCTCCAAAACACCCCGATGTAAGACTTATCTCGTATACCTACTGCCGAGGTTGTGTAGATTATCACAATATATATAACACCGATAACACCATCTTTGTGTAAGCATTTCATTTATGTTGATTATTTATCTTCCCATATAAATCATCTATGCGTCTTTAATCAAATGCTTGAATAACTTGTCCAGGTAATAGGCAGACTGCTTGGGATAGCGAGTCTTTTCTTCGGACTCAAAGTCGATAAATGTGGAACCGAAGCGATCCGCATACCCAGCGGCCCATTCTAGAGAACATCAGTCAATTATTCATATAGTGGATGAAGAAAACAGCCACTTACCCCAGTTATCAGTGAATGTCCAAGCAAAGTAAGACCGGATATCAACTCCGTCTTCCTTCACAGCACGCGCCAGCGCATTGCCAACATAGCCCTCAAAGAATCTGATGCGGAACTCATCATTCAGAACCTCAGGCGTGGGGGCTGTTTCACCCTTGGCGGTGGTACCATTCTCAGTCACATAAATTGGCATCTGGTATCGTTTATAGATCCAATTTAACAACTTCCTGAATCCCCCAGGGGCGGCCCGCAGCCACGGGGTATCACTTTCCTCCCCGCGAGACACACCTTGCTTATTCTCATCAAAGATCTCCACATTACCCTTATGGTCATTGATATCAGGCGCAGATGTTGTATGCTTCACAAAGAAAGTCGTATAGCTATTCATACCATAGAAGTCCGAGCTCCCGAACACAAGCTTCGATTCCTCCTCCGTGAACCTCGGCAATCGGTCACCGAGCTGCGCCCGCATCGACGCAGGATAATCACCCGTTTTGTACAACGGGTCCGCAAACCAAGCAATCTCGAACTCGCGCGCACGCTCCGCAGCTTCTTGGTCGCGTGGGTCCTCCTCATCCCACGGCTCGGACCAATTACCATGCAGTGTGATACCAATAGTTCCCTTCTGCTGGGGCTGGAACTCCTCCCGGTACAAGCGCACAGCATGACCATGCGAGACGAGTTCAGTGTGCGCGACGGTGAACGGCTCTGTGGATGAATCCCCCTCGGCATTGCGCTCACGGAAAGATGATCTACCTGGTGCGTGCACGCCCGCGGCATACCCGGCGAGGGTATAGACTCCCGGCTCGTTGTATGTAATCCAGTGCTTGACGCGGTCACCGAAGCGCTCAAAGCAGACGCGGGCGTAGCGCACAAAGTCCGGCGTGTAGGCTTCCTGGTTCAGCATGCCTCCGTACCGATCTTCCAGGGCTTGGGGGATATCCCAGTGGAATAGAGTGATGAAGGGGGTGATTCCATTGCGGAGGAGCTCGTCGATGAGATCGGAGTAGAATTTGATTCCTTGTTCGTTGACGGGGTCGTCGCGGCCGCCAAGGGGGATGATTCGGGACCAGGATAGAGAGAAGCGGTAGGCATTTACGCCGTAGGACTTCATGAGCGCCACATCTTCGCGGTAGAAGTCGTAGGCTCGGACGGCGTCATCGGCTGTGCTTCCATCGGCGATTTTGCCCGGTGTGTGGCCGAAGGTATCCCAGATTGACACGCCTTTGCCGTCCTTGTTCCAGGCGCCTTCTATTTGGGCTGCTGCTGTGGCGTACCCATGGAAGAAGTCAGGTCGGAGCACATCCTTGAGATCTTGCACTGAATTCAAATCCATCTTGCTGTGTTGTAGGATTGATGAGATTATGACAGGGGTGACAATTTATTTTCTTAGCTTGGAGCTCTCATCGATGATGCCCCGCAAAGACATTATCCGGATAAAGTCTTATTGTTGTCTTCGATTTACCCCGAGACTAGGATATGCGGGTGTTGCTCCGTGGTGGTTTAGGAAGTGCAGGGACCTCGCCTTAGCTGTTTATACGGAGTGGATATAGGCGACGGTGGGGATGCCAATGTTTGGAGGACGAAAGTACCCTAAGGTATTAAAAATCATACAGTTGAGAATTGAAGTCTTTTGTTTGACTAATTTATTAATCTAGTTGATCCTATGTTCACCACCACCAGTAATCTCTACTTGTAACTCATTGTAGTAAACAAGTACAGTCTCTCCACGCTCCGAAATTATAGTCAGTTCACCTACAACACGGCCATTTTCGAAATTAAATTGCAACTCAAACCCACCACGCGCCCGCACTCCTCGGATGGATCCAGTCCAGTCCATCGGACACGCTGGAAGGATGCGAATCACCCCGGACTCGTGGGATTGAACCAGCATTTCAATAATACCCGCCCCACCACCAAAGTTGCCATCGATTTGGAATGGAGGGTGACTGTCTAGTAGATTGGACAGAGTGGACCGGGACAACAGCAAGTCTAGATGCCTGCTACATTCATCGGCTTCGAGTAACCGTGCGTGTAGGTTGATCAGCCACGCGCGACTCCAGCCAGTATGGCCGCCACCATGTTCCGCGCGTCGACGTAGAACTACCCCGCACGCTTCTGCCAACTTCGGGGTTTGTGTTGGCGTGATTGCATTTCCAGGATGTAGAGCCCACAAATGGGACGTGTGACGATGTCCGGGTTCGACCTCAGCATAGTCAGTGGCCCATTCCTGTAGATACCCAGCAGGGGATATCTGCATTGGTGGGAGGCGAGACTTTGTAGCCTGAACTGCTGGAAGAAGGGCATCATCGAGATCAAGTCTCTTTGCACAAGATTGGAAGGCACCCAGAATAGCGTCTATGATTTGGATATCGATCGTCGATCCTTCACACAATACGCCCTTTTGGCCCTTGTGGTCGTAGAACGAGTTCTCTGGAGAAGCAGACGGACTGGTGACAAGATATTCACCATTGGCGTCTTTGACCAAAAAGTCGAGGAGAAACTCTACGCATCCACGCAGGGTGGGGAACATCCGACGAAGGAATCCTTCATCGCAGGTAAATTGGAAATGATCCCAGATGTGGTAGCAGAGCCATGCACCACCCAGGGGCCAGATACTTGCCGGCATCCATCGATCAACGGGGGCTGTATCGGCCCAAATATCAGTATTGGAATGGGCTGTCCATCCTCGACATCCGTACATGATCCGAGCTGTGACTTTACCGGGTTCAACCATGCGTTCGAGTAAATCAAACAGAGGGATTTCGCATTCGGACAGGTTACACACATTTGCAGACCAGTAGTTCATCTGAAGATTGACATTGGTGGTGAACCGGGAGCCCCATGCTGGATGGAAGGATGGGTTCCAGATACCCTGGAGGTTTGCAGGAAGTGATTTGTGCCCATCCCGACTACATGATATCAGGAGATAGCGATTGTAGTTGTGGTAGAGTGCGATGAGCCCTGGATCTCGAGAAGACTTCAGACGTTGATCGGTTGGAATTTCGGGAGAGTCTAGTCCAAGCTGCAATTCCATTCGGTCGTATAAAGACTGGTAATCCGCAACATGACGGGCGCGGAGGTCCTCCGAAGAGTGGCCCAGGGCATCCTCTGAATCTTGCTTGGTTCGCTGATCAATGTCTTCATGTCGAAATGTTGTTTGCGCCGCAATAATCAGCAGTGTATCGCTGGAGTTCACCACCAGATTATTTCCAATTTTGGTAATTGTGCTCTCAGCACTGTCGCAACGAACAGACACGATGCAGCACGCTCGATTACTATTCTTTCCCCCAGGCGTAACATGCATGGTGATGGAGTTACTGGTAGCACTGACATTGTCAAGCCACTCATTTGTTTCAAATTCCAAGTCACTCATGCGGGTTAGACGAACGACAAACTCAGCCTTGCTCGAGGAACGCAATCTGATCGCAAGCACATCATCCGGGTAACTGGCCAGGACTTCACGTTCGAAGCGAACACCCTGGTACTCATAGCTGACATGCGCTGTAGCACTTGTGAGGTCCAGTGAGCGCCGATAGCTTGTAACCTGATTGGGATCATGTCCCAAATCCAAGAATAGGTTTCCTAGCGGCTCATAGTTCCGCTGGCTGATAGGGTTAGCGAAAAACGCCAGCTTGGCGATCTTCTCAGCTTCGACATGGTTCTCCGCGCGTATAGCTTCTCTTAGGCGCGGTAGATACTCGAGCGCATCTTGCGGGTTGCGATCTTGTGGTCCTCCATACCACACGGAATCTTCATTGAGCTGTAGCATTTCGGTGTCGGTACGTCCATACACCATGGCGCCTAAGCGCCCATTCCCGACTGGCAGGGCTGAATTCCAGTCCTCCGCAGGTTGCTGGTACCATAATTCCGACATTTTCAATAATATTCAATGGGTCTGGTCTGCTGGTCTGTGTTGGGATGATGTATCAATATGGCCTAGCCCTGGTGACCAAGGCGGCGGTTCGGTCCGTCAGCCGCGAATTTTGAACAGAACAGGCTGAAAGACTGTAAATCAGACAGGTCAGAGGAGCTAAGAGCTAGTAGAGTAATCGGAAAACCGATCTGATTTGCCAAGAGCAAAGGATTCCGGGTAATCTTGCTGGTAAGCGCCAGCTCTAACTCTTTCCCCGGTTGTTCCCCGGATTCCAGGCTAAATGTCTCCACCGGATCACCCCCCTCCTTGTGATCTGGGGTAGATCCGGCCACTCCAGACTAACAATGGAGAAATATTTAAGCGATATTCCAACCAACTAGATGCTAGTTTCTCTCCGCAGTCGCATCTTACTGGTGAGAAATCCCTAGGGCACATGGCGAGAAAACGCAATTCAGGAATTGGCGTACAAAATGTACAGCGTGACCCTCATCACTCACCAATCACTGCCCATTCTGGTAGTTATATCATGCCACAAGCTAATCTGATCCCAAACTTATGTCTTCCCCGTGGCGAAATAGGTCGCTCGGCAACAGCCTGGATGCCGACCGTTGATTTGTTGCCCCCCCTAGCTTCGTGAGACCGATTCACCGAAGCAGAAATACCCCGGCATATCCCCGCTTTTAGCTCGAACTTGACTGCAGCTCAAGGGCTCTCGACCCCATACTTCTGGGACGATCATTTCTATACTCTTTCAAGCCCATTTGATCCAACTTGCCAAACCGTAACAATGACCTCGGGTGCAGCCTATGCGGAGGCCAAGCTGGGCAAGAGCGTGGATCCGGAACATATTGAGGAGGTTGCCCTGGCACGGCTGACAGAAGAGGATCTATGGAAGTTGTCCCAGGATTCCCTGACTCTACGGTCGTGGACCGGAGTCCGGTTGGGTCTCATCATGCTGGTCCATGGTTGCAACCAAGCCGGCTTTGGAATTGACTGGGGTGTCATCAGCGGCATCAATGCTTTGACTTCATGGCACAACTACTTCAAATTCGAGAGCAGTGGTGGCACATATGGATTGATCAATGCTCTGATGCAGATTGGTGTCGTTTGTGGAGCGCCCTTCATGGGTTTGGCGGACGTGATCGGCCGTCGTGGAATCAATTTCACCGGCAACGCCATTGTCATCTTCGCATCTCTCATGCAAGGCCTCGCCACGAACCTTCCAATGTTCATGGCCGGTCGATTCTTCATGGGATTTGGCACTGCACTCATGTCAAGCTCTCAGTACATTGGCGAGATTTCACCTGTCCATCTTCGTGGTGTTATGGTCGGCTTTTTTGGCGCATGCTTCCAGGTCGGTAGTCTTGGTGTGCTTGGTGCCATGATTGGACTTACCGAGTTGCCTGGTAACAACTCCTGGCGTGTTCCCCTCATTCTTGAGGCTTTATTCCCTACCCTTGTCTGTCTGGGAATATACCTTTTGACTCCCGAGTCGCCCCGTTATTATGTTATGAGGGGAAATCGGCAAAAAGCAAAGGAAATCATCGCCAAGTACCATACTACTAGCGCCGACATCAATGAGCCCATTGTCGATATTGTGGTGAGACAGATTGAGGAATCTCTCGAGAATGACCAGACAGGCTACAGGGCTGCCTGGGACTATCGCGTCTTCTTCACCAAGACGGCCCGTTTCCGACTCCTGGTTTTGTTTTTGTACTCTCTCTTCCAGCAATGGAATGGAGGTGGTATTATCACGTACTATGTGAGTGGTTAGATTGAAGTGACACCTTATTCAGTGGCTAATACCTTTTTAGATGGTTCCTTCACTACAGCAACTCGGAATGGAGGGCGAGAAGCAGCTACTCGGTGTCAACATTGGCACCACCGCAGTCTATTTCGTCTTTACAGCCGTTGGCGCTCTTATAGTCGATAGGTTCCGCAGACGAACCATGATCTTTGTGGGTCTTATCAGCATGATTATCTTTCAAACGGCTACAACAATCACATCATGGCAGTACAATGTTCACGGCACTGCAGCGGCAGCGGCGCTCACCATTCTCTGGATCTTCCTTTACCAGACCTTTTCAGCCACATTTGTTGCAACCATGCACAACTTGTATCCAATTGAAATTCTCTCTCTACCACTTCGTGCCAAGGGAATGGGTCTTTACGGTCTGATCCAGGGAGGTGCCGGAGCTGCACAGACCTACGGAATTGGCGTCGGTATCCAAAAGGTGGGTTATAAGATTTGGGTCGTATACATCGTGTACAACTCCATTCAGCTCGTCTTGTCGTGGTTATTCTTCCCAGAGACCAGCCGTTTGTCTCTAGAGGAGATTAACACGGTGTTTGAGACCCCAGGAGTCCACCCGGTGAAGATGTCTTTGGATATTGAGAAGGCCAAGAAAGCCAGAGCGGCGGCGGGCCGGGATGAGGAGGGCAGTGCTGATCGATAAGCATTCAATAGCAGGGAAGCGTTTATTAAAGGGACCGGATAACATAATTTGATGCATATTTTCCGTCTTTGTTTCACCTCCAAGCTCTAGACTTTAGAGCCGATCTAAACCTTAGAACTGGTCCTATCAATGCTTCGAAATGGAATTAAAAATCTCAATATTACACATAGATGAAGACAAATGCACAAGTGGAACAGTTGAAACGCGTCGGACCCGATATAAGCCTGTGCCTACCCGTCGGAGGGGTGCTTGTTCTGTCACACAATTTCCGCCCTCTGTCTTCTCAAACGTATATGAGACATCAGAAAAACGAGGTTTGAAATATTTTGTATCCCTATCAACTTCCCAAAAGGATAGTGTTATCTTCAACTCCATGGTCGGATCTACAATTAGTTGACATCAGATGATCTTCCCGAGCCCTAAAGTGCCCAGACCATCTTCAACCCGGCCCATTTCCCGCTGAGATACCTCATGGAATCTTTTCTTTTTTCTCCGAGACTCATCGCCACCAGTCTAGAATTCAATCACAGCCCATAGGTCCCCTACATTTCGGCCTGCAGCGTTACACAAACAAATCAGGTACCGAGTTACGACATTTCGCACTCCGATCCTTTTTTTAGCTCCGTCTTTCCAAGTGAGAGACTATTCTGATTAATGATTTGAGCCTGCGATTGGTATCATGTGCTATGGGAAGAAAAAATAAAAGCAAAACGGTCAACGGGTTTTCTGCAGTCTGTAGTGTCACAGATGACCCGGTGTGGTGCTCTGCAGCCCTAATATGGTTATCCTTAGAAGTATTGGATGGTGACGCAAGCCAGAAGGGAGACAAAAAGAGACTACGTGGCTGAAGCATATAGCTTAGCTGGTTCATGGGGTCTTTTTTTCCCCCTTGCCTTTGTATCCTTTGTAATGAGAACATATGTATGTCTCTGGGAAACGAGAAGAGTCAACAGTGGCAATTGCCAGTTACTTATAGTCTGGGCCAGACACTGCATTGATGCCAGTGGCATCGCGTAAGGGATTTTTGCTCATCTTCTCTGCAGCTATCGAGAGTTTGCAAAATCGACAATAGTCCATATTAAGATCTCCATGAAGAGTATAATGAAGAGGAAGACGGGCAAGGTGGAAATGACGGGCAGGCTACATCAACTCTATTTTTGTGTAATCCAGTTGCTTGCCTCTAATTGACCCTCGTGGCAACGGTATAGAACCGCTTAGATTCTTTTTGATTGTCTCTCAGCTGAAGAGATCCGGATCAGATTGTTTGTTGCAAACAGTCAATCCGTCCTATAACAATTGGGATATAAAATAATATGTAAATGTCCACAGTACAACTGCACAACATACAGGTATCTTTTAATCTACGGATCCTGATACACAGAGATGTACGCACGGCCATACGGACCGAGACGGGACTGCATCTGCCGATTGATGCTCGACCCTTCCAACAAAATTCCTAGAGTCATGCACGTCCGGTTGCGCGGTCTGGCGATTCAAACATGGTGTTACCCTGGCTTTTTCACTAAAAGCGCCAGACAAGGCGACAACTTAGATCCATTGGCTCGGCTTCTCATCACGAGACAGATGGCACTGTCGTCAAAAAGCAAGCGGGTCATCGCCGCTCAACACGGGATGTGCAGGTCCCTACTTCGAGTACCGTTCATTTTGTGAAGAAACTGTTGGGTTGGGTGAAATTCTCCCATGTGTATGTTGCATGTGTCTTTTGATCTCCTTCTCTTTCCGGGATGGTTTTATTGTGGCCATGTCTCCCCCTTTTTCTGCGCTGCAGTGTTGAGGGGTGATACATCCGGCATGTCGGGTATTGGAGGATGTTTCCTTTGGACAATGACGGTGAACATGATCTCGTCATGATATAATTGATCAAGTTTTCTCTTATATTCCTCCCCCTATAGCTCTTTTTTTCCCTTCGTCATTAATTTGGAACCCTTTTGTTTCAACACTATATTTCTATGTTTGCTTCAGGAGTGTTCTAGGCGTGACATGCTCATGAATCACTTGGTTCATCTTTCAACAGATATACATACTTCCGGTCTTTGAACACCGGTCTTTGAACATAATACTGTGCATATTCTTCACTTCTTCTAAACTCCCAACACATTCCATTGCCAAAACACGGTTATAAAACTAGTTCATTGCCTGCATCGACAACCAAACCACCTCTCTCTCGTGGTCCAGTCCGAGATGCCCCCGAAGAGTACACAAGACAACATGGTGCCCGAGGCAAAAGGAATCAAGTACGACGAATGCGAGATGGCGCTCTTCCGTGCCAAGCTATCGTACCATGCCACGATTGATGAACGGATGGCCTCACAGAACTCAAACCTGACTTCGATCGCGGAAGCCCAGGCTCGAATCCTCAAGGGATGGGAAATACAGATGCAGGGCACAAAGGATTTGGCTGGGAAGAATGGGGGTCGCTCTGAAAGTGATAAGAGAGCAATGGCACAGTATGCATGGAGGTATACGGCTCTGGAGAATGCTGCAACCAAGACCACTGGAAAGGGATAGCGACAAAACTTCTTCTTCTTTTGTTCTTCTTCTTTTGTTCTTCTTCTTTTGTTTTTGTTTTTCTTTTTTTTTTTTTTTTTCTTCTTCTTGCTATTTGCGCCCACCATATTGAATGATACGAAGGCATTGCTGGCGTTTGTTTAGAAGCTTCACAGCTTAGTTTGATGTTCTCGTGCTGAAATACTATGTCAACCTTTTCACACTGACATCTACTCTCATAATCTGGTGATGATATTAGGGGTCCTCATTTCTAATTTTATGTTTTTATGTTCCATAGGAGTTGAGGTCCCTCTCCCGCTTGTGGGCTATGTGTGAGTGCAATACAATTGAGTACCTTATCCCAGTCCTGAATCTCTGATTCGAGGGAGAATTCGTTGAATGTCACACAAGCAGGTTGATCAACATTGCAACAGTAACAAGTACACCTCGTGTGTACTCATGCAAAGGACTGGGGTGTTGCATTTGGTGAAAGACATTCGGGATATATGGGAATCAGCAATAAGTTCACGAATCACTGCGTCATTGTATAACCCCGTGTATGGGCAATAGTAGATACCGTGTTTGACTTGATCCCCATTCATTTTACCTCACAATTCTTTCTCTCTGCTCAATATATATCTACTGCATTGTATGGATGACATAACATGTAATGAGAAATAACTCAAGCCGAGCGGCTATTATCACTCGTATCTGGGGATAATGGCAAGTCTTATTGGTCGAATCGTTGAATTCCGTCGAACTCCGGGCTCTTAGAGCGGGTTGCGCAGGAAAGATATCACTGCCACAGTAGGCGCAGTAGGTGTAAATTGAACATTTTGGATTCCTTTGCCTTCTGTGGAGTCTATGACTTTCATTTCTAGTCAATGAGAGACTACCATTCGGATAACAGCGCTCATCGGAGACCTCCGATATGGCTCGCCATGTAGTGGGTCAACAATCCAACTCCGAAATCAACTCCGAAAGGCCCCAACCCGGCATTGGGCCTGGGCTTAGCGGCTACGGGCGAAACCTTCAAGGGAATCCCGGGAAAGATAAGTTCTGATTGGCTCTGACGAGAAGAGGATAGAAGAAGAATGGGGATTGTCGACGTCGGGGAGTAATGGAAATGCATTTCGAGGGGCAAGTTCCCTTATCGATAACCCCCCCACCCTCCTATTTAAGTATACACTCACGCCTACACTCTCTTCGACTTGTCTTTTTTAAAACTCATTAAATATATAATTCTTATAAATCAATCCAAAATGCAAGTCGCAGCTACCGATATTGATCAGGTGTTCGCACACACCACCAACCTAGCCTCGTGCAACCTAAACAGCAAGATCCTAGCCTGTTCAAACGACTACTTCGCTTCAGCCGATAACCTCCTCACCCCCACTCCCTCCATCTCACGCCCCGGCGTCTTCGTTCACACTGGTGCCTGGTATGATGGCTGGGAAACCCGTCGACACAACCCAGATCCCTACGACTGGGCCGTGATCAAGCTCGGCGTCGCCGCAGCCTACATCCACGGCGTCGAAGTAGACACCGCACACTTCATCGGAAACTACGGCGAGAAGGCAGAGCTACAAGCTACACACGCACCGGAAGGTAGTGGTATCACAGATGCCCAAATCGCAGACCCCAGCTTCGCCGGCTGGAAGACTCTTCTCCCCGCTTCGCCTTGCGGTCCCTCACAGCGCCACGGATGGAAGTTCGACGCCGACATCAGTCAAACTCCTTACACTCACTTCCGTCTGCTGATGTACCCCGACGGTGGCTTCGCCCGTCTCCGTCTTTACGGTCACGCTATCCCCCCTCCTGCCCCGGCCGTCCAGGGTGCTTCGGCGCCCGTTGAAGAGCTCTCGTCTGCTCTCAATGGAGGTGTGGCTCTTGCTGCCTCTGACGAGCACTTCACCCCCTCGTCTAACATTCTACTTCCTGGTCGTGGAAAGGATATGGGTGATGGATGGGAGACTGCTCGCTCGCGCGCTGCTGGCCACGTCGACTGGGCTATTGTTAAGCTGGGTCTTCCTGGCTCGGTCTCCAAGGTTGTTGTTGACACTAAGGACTTCCGTGGAAACTTCCCTCGTGCTGTGCGCGTGCACGGCTTGGTTGCTGGCGCTGGCGGTGATGGTGTCCCCTCCGCCGATGACGCAAACTGGGTTGAGATCGTCAAGGGTGACAAGCGTTGCCAAGCAGATACCGAGCATGTCTTTGGGCCTGATGATCTCACTGCTGGTGGTGAGGATACTCGGGTGTTCAGCCATGTCAAGCTGACCCTTGTTCCGGATGGCGGTGTCAAGCGATTCCGGATCTTTGGTCGTCGCGCTTAGATTCCTGTCTAATATCATGAGAATGAGGAATATGTATATAGCTGAGATTCTAGATTTAAATAATGCATTATGTTCAAATGTCCAAATCACAACATCTCAGCGAGGATATCCAAGGAAGAATTATGTCATTGATCATGATTATGAGTGGGAAACACCATCGTGTTGGAGACGAAAACGAAATCAGACGCACGATTCTCATAGAATCTCCAAAAGAAACACTAAAGAACTACCTAGGCAGTGAAGGACAAGATGCAAAATGAAATAAAAAGCTAAATAGAGATAAACTCATCGACCCAAATGACGCCTAACTTCTATCTTTGCAAACTCGGGTATAAATTAAAAATGCATGGACTCATTTCTTTTCCAATGACAATGGTTTCGGTTCATCTGAAGCCGAAGAGGAGTAACTGGTAGGTGTTCCAGCGCCACCATCAATACTTGCTTTCGAACGCTTTTCTCGAATAGCAAGACGAGACTTGGGGTAGGATGGCGGCGCAGGGGCGAGATATCTGTCCAACAATTCGCTCAAAATGGGCGAGCGGACCGGTTTCGGGAGGTAATTGTTCATGCCAGCCTCGAGGCATTTCTCGCGATCACCTTCGATGGCACTTGCAGTCATGGCGATGACGAGCACTTCGTTTACATTCGGGTCGGGATCTCGGCGCAGCTCGCGGGTCGCGTTGTATCCGTCAAGAGTGGGCATCATCACGTCCATAAGGACCACGTGGAATGGATTGCCTTCTTGGGAGCTTGCACGTAGAGCATCGACAGCTTGTTTGCCGTCGCTGTATGCGTTGCATTGGAGGCCAAGGCCAGTAACAAATTTCACGGCGATCTTTTGATTGATTGGGTTGTCTTCGGCAATGCAGACTCGGATCTGATCACGAGGGATTTGGGTGAGGTCGCGAGCTGAGGACCGACGGACTTCGTTTTCTGCATTGCTCAGATCTTGTGACCATGCAGTCTTGACCGCCGTCTTCTTGGGTGCTTTGTTGAAGACCAAGTGGAATGTCACGGTCGTTCCAACTCCGGATTTCGATTCAAGCCAGATAGCTCCACCGAGAACATCTTCAATGATAGCTTTACAGATTGACAGGCCAAGGCCACTACCGCCATATGATCTCTCTGTGGATGCGTCAGCCTGTGAGAATGGTCGGAAAAGGCGAGCTTTCTGTTCGTCTGGAATGCCGATGCCGGTGTCAGTGACCGAACATTCAAGGCGAACCCGACCTTTGCCCTCACGCGCAACCCTCGCTTTGACCGTAACTGATCCAGCAGGAGTGAACTTGTAACTGTTGCTGAGGAGATTCATGAAAATCTGGTGGAGACGAACAGGATCGCCGAGAACAACGAGCTCTGGTGGTACCTTATCGAGGTTCTCGATTGTCTCTAGGCCTCTGTCACGATGTGTGTATCGCAAAGCCCGGATGACTTCTGATATGGTTTGTTTTAGATTGAGTGGGACCGTGGAGATCTTCATTTTTCCGGCCTCGAGCTTCGAGAAATCGAGAATGTCGTTAATGAGGGTGAGCAAGGTATCAGCACATACACGAATCGATTCAACGTATTCATCTTGCTCCTTGTCAAGGAAAGTTCCCTTGAGGAGTTCCGATAAACCGATCACGCCGTTCATCGGAGTACGCAAATCGTGAGAGATATTGGCAAGGAAAATTGATTTGGCCCTTGCTGCGTCTTCCTTTAGCTTCACATTGTGCTTCGCTTCAGCCTCCGCATTCTTTGCCTTCTGTTCGGCCTCGCGTGCCAAGGCCAATGCACGCTTTTGGGACTCAATCATGGAAGCATTCTTGGCGCTGACCTTGCGAATTTCACGGAAGAGCAACGCGTTGGACAACGAGATACCAATTTGGTTGCAAAGCAGATGCAGCACCACAACATTGCGCTGTGTGAACCAATTTGGTTTTCCTTCCAGATGGATGACGCCGAGAAGGCGATCTCCTTGTACAACTGGCAACGCGATAACAGACCGACCCGTGGGGTAATTTGCCAGGTACGTCTCGCTCACGTTGGAAAACCGTTCATCTTCGAGAACGTTGTGAACAAGAACTTCCTCCTTTGTGCGCATGACATAGTCCGAGATATGCAAGGCCATTCGATCCTCCATTTCCGAGAAAGGGAGACCTTCTGGGAATGATTTCTGGCCCTTTTCCGAATCACCTGCTGCGGCAATTGCAAAGCCGTTGTTGTCATCAAAGTCTGTAGCAATGATGGCGAAATCGGAACCGTTGCAAGACTCCAAGATAATCTCAAGCATTTTCATGAAAAGCTTGTCAATTTGAAGCTCAGACGACATGACTTGGCTAGATTCGAGAATGCTGGATAAGTCAATAATGTCTAGCCCGACACTTGATATGTCTAGAGACCGTTCTCCGGCAGCCACACCATTTTGCTCAATCCACTGTTGTCTCCTCTCATCCTCTTCCATCTGCTGGGGAATCAGGATCTCTTCTTGCACAACATCACGGCTGATCTCAAGAAGAGAATCAATAGTCTGGCAGCCAACATCAACGGTTTTTGCCGAGGTGGCCGTCTTGAGTAACCATTCATGTTTCTCAGCAAGCTGCGAAGATTTGCCACCGGCACCAATAGCGCTCCAGGAGGCGATAGCATCTTGGATCACAGCACGAGCGGCCCTCTTTGCTCCACGTCTCACCAAAAACTCGCCCTGCA